CTGCGAGGGGTGAGTCTGCACCCCGCAGGGACAGTCGCCCCCTCCCCACGCCCGCCCCATCCTGCGCCGCGCAGGGGCCCTGGAGAAGCTCCCCGAGCCCAGGAGGTGACCGACTCGGTCCCTGGCTCCGGGGTCCGGACCAAAGGCTGCGGTGGGCGGGACTCCAGCCTGGGCTCTGCGGGGGCGGGAGCGGCTCCGGAGGCCGGAGTCCCTCGGGAGGCTGGGGCGAGCGGGGCTGGGAGGATGCTGAGCGCCGAGGCCCAAGTGGGGAAACCGAGGGCCCAGAAGGAGAGAGAGGGAGAGGGCTTGCCAGAGACTCCCGAGTGAGCAGGGGTCTGACCCCCAGGGCCGTGGCCCTGGAATCTCTGACCTCGGGCCCGCTGCTCACGGTGGCCCCGCTGTGCCATGCACTTCACAGGCTCTTCCGCGCATCGTCCTCACTCCCGCCGCCGAGGACCGGGGCGAACCCTGAGGCTGGGGGGAGGGGAGAATTAACCCAAGGTCACCGAGCCAATGAGAGAGAAGCGCGTTCCCACGGTCCCCGGGACCCCTCAGGCCCCGCCCCCGGAGGAGAGTCCCGCTGCCCGAGCGCTCCCAGAGGGGGATCCAGGCGGTCCCTCCCCGGGAAGCCCCTGCCGGGACTGGGTGTGTCCCCAGCCCTGCCTCGGGGCATGATTTCCGGTGTACTAGCCCTAGCGCCCGCCCTCTTGCTGCTGTCCAAGGCTCTCGGCCGCCGGCCTCTGATCACCTCCAAGAATGGAGGAAGCGAGGGAGACGGCGGGGTCCGAGGCCGGGGGCCGCCTCCTCCGCAAGGTCGGCCCCCGCATCTCTACCAAAGGACAGCTAGCTGGAAGCTCCAGCTGACCACAGAGCCACTGCCACTGGTCTCTCTGCCAGAGCTGAGCCCGGACTCCAGCGGGACTAGGAGGGACCTAGGACGCACATTCCCGCGGTGGGCGACCGAAGGGAGGGCAGGGATACAGGGGCGGAGCCGCTGTCTCGGGATAAGGAGCATTCCTTTGCAGGTGTTCTCGAGACCTCAGAGACGCAGGCTCAGAGGCTGACAGCCCCGGGAGGGGACAGCCTGCTTCGCTCAGGTCGGTGGGGTCTCTGCAGGTGTCCGGGCTCCGGTGCGGTACCCAGCGATGCACCGCCGGAGACTGGCACTCGGCCTGGGGTTCTGCCTGTTGGTGGGCACAAGCCTCAGTGTCCTGTGGTGAGTCTCCTTCCCTCCCCACCCCAGGACTCCGCCCCGTCTCTGCACATCAACCCCAAACCTTGATTCCCTCGGGAGATCCCAGGTCCCACCAACCTCTCCTGGCTCACCTGTTCCCCAGCCCCAGCAAGACCCAGCTAGTTTCAGCTCTGAATTTTGCCTTGTACGGGCCTCCTGGCCTTTGACTTGCTCGTTCCTCTGCCTGGACTGTCCTTCACCCAGTGTTGATGAGGAACTCCTGGTCATGCTCCCAAGTTCACCCCATGTCCTTCTGTGAAGCTTTGAGTGAATTTGCAGCGGCTGGGGAGGAATGGAGCCAACAAGTGTTTTTCCTTCCCAGGGTGTATATTGAGAACTGGCTGCCGGTCTCCTATGTCCCCTACTACCTCCCCTGCCCAGAGATCTTGTAAGTATGGGTGGGGCTAGGAGAAGTGAGGGCCCCCAGGGCTGCTCAAAAGTGGAGAGACAGGAGAGTTGTTTTGTTTTCTTTTTTTAAAGCAGGGTTTAATAAGAGGACAGAAAAACTCCCACAGTGGGAGGGGACCCGAAGGGGTTGCCCGAAAGGAGAGTCTTTAAGGTCACTTTGTCTGTGCGTTCTAGGGTCCTAAGCTCATGGTTCTGATAAATGCGGTAGTGTTTGGGTAATTTAGAAGGGCTGCCACAAATGTGGGGTGAAATTCCCATTTCTTTGAGCATCCTTGCAGCCTCCTGCATGATTTGACCTTGGACGGGCTGCACAGCTCTGAGCCCTGCTTGCGGCACCTGTAAAATGGAATGGTAGAGGTGCCCCTCCCAGGCCACTGGGAACTTGGTGCAATGATGTCTGTGAATAGCTTGGTGTTACATGGTGAGTGCTCAGTGTCTTGAGGACTTGACCTTTTTGCTGGATTATGTGTTCTATGTGGGTTTATCAGGTGACCGGTTAACAAATTAACATGTGACCAAAGACTTCCTCGCATAATGAATCTGACTTTTTGACAGTTCAGAGTGAAAAAATGGGTTGGGAGCATCTCAGAGGAGCGTCTGGCACCATGCCTTTTGTTTTTCATGACAGCTAAAGGAAAGGTGAACATCTGAATTATAGGTGGCTAAACAGTGAGACATGTTTTATTACAAATGTAGAACGTGGGAGGTTAGGAAACTGGAAAACAGAGAAGACCAAAGGAAAAAGAAAACTCTCTAGGTATCATCTGTTGGCGTTATACTCAGATTTAGAAGTTCGTTGTTGGCATGCTCTTTTCTTTTTCTTTCTTTCTTTTTTTTTTTGCTGTGCTTCTTTTTTGTTGTTTTTTTTTTTTTCAGTTGGAGTCTCCCTCTTGTTGCCCAGTGCTGGACGCAGGCCATCCTTCTGCCTCAGCCTTCCAAGTAGCTACAGACGCACGCCACCACACTTGGCTAGTTTTTGTGATTTGTTGTAGAGACGAGGTCTCACCAAGTTGCCCAGGCTGGTCTCGAACCCCTAGGCTTAGGCAATCCTCTCGCCTCAGCCTCCCAAAGTGCTGGGATTACAGGCTGAGCCACTGTGCCTGGCCTGATTTTTTTTCTTTTGAGTCAGAGCCTCACTCTGTTGCCCAGGCTGGAGTGCAGTGACATGGTCACAGCTCACTGCAGCCTTAACCTCCTGGGCTCAGGAGATCCTTCCACTTCAGCCTCCTAAGTAGCTGGGTCTACAGGTACATGCCACCATGCCCAGCTCATTTTTTGATTTTTTGTAAAGACGGGGTCTCGCCGAGTTCCCAGGCTAGTCTTGAGCTCCTGGTCTCAAGCAATCCTCTCGCCTCAGCCTTCCAAAGTGCTGGGATTACAGGCATGATCCCACTGCACCTGGCCTGTAATGCTATTAAAAACAGTTGTGACCATACTATTTTTGCAATTTTTATCTTGTTTTCCTAGAATGAACTTTATTTTTCAGGGTGTGTATCTGCTCTTCATGGTTGCCATCCATCTTATTCCACCCATGACTGGGCCATAATTTTGATCCTCTGTCCCTTGACCACCAACAACTGCTGGGCATTTGGGTTGCTCCCAGTTTCCCAGGGTTCGAAATTAGTTTGTGATGAGAAGCCAGGGGCATAACCCTTTTTCCATTTTAAATATCATTTTATTCAGGTATGCTGCCTTACCTGACAGGAGGATATGGATATGTTCTGATCCATCTCATCAGGTTGTTTTCCATAAAGACAGCAGCATATCAGTCACACACACCCACTTAACAACCCTGTCTGAGTACTGCCTAGCGAGACCACCCATATTGTACCTGGACTGGTGCTGGAAATACCGGTGGTTATTGAAAAACAAAATTGAGGCAGGGCATGGTGGCTCAACCTATAATCCCAGAACTTTGGGAGACCAGGGCGAGAGGATTGCCTGAGCCTGGGGACTCAAGACCAGCCTGGGCAACTTGTTGAGACCTTGTCTCTACAATAAAGCAAATAAATAAATAAACAAACAAACAAACAAATAAATAAACCGGGCGTGGTAGCGTGTGTCTGTAGTTCCAGCTACCTGGAAGTCTGAGGTGGAAGGATCACCTAAGCCCAGCAGGTTGAGGATGCGTTGGCCATGAGCATGCCACTGCACTCCAGCCTGGGTGACAGAGTGAGACTCCAACTCAAAAAAAAAGAAAGAAAGCCAAAATTGAGCCCATCCTACTGATTCGAGAGATGGAAAATTCTATCTCTTTGTTTTCAATTTCAGTTACTTTTTTTTTTAATAGGGATAAGGGTCTTGCTATGTTGCCCAGGCTGGTCTTGAACTCCTGGCCCCAAGTGATCCTTCCACCTCAGCTTCCCAAAGTGCTGGGATTACAGCAAGAGCTGGTCCTAAATTTCATTTCTGTGATTACTAGTGAGGCCCTTATTTGCCCCACATCATTCCAGAAATTGAATTTCTTCCTGCAAAATGCTTACTCTATCACCTTCTCTCTTTAGTCTGTTCATGAGTTTCTACCATATCCTTGGGTGAACAGATCTGCTATATTTTTCATCTTCCCAGTTTGCCTATCTTTTGGTTCTACTCCATCGTTATTTTTTATTTTTTATTTTTTTGAGTTGGAGTCTCACTCTGTCGCCCAGGTTGGAGTGCAGTGGCCGCTCCCAGCCACCGCAGCCTCGACCTGCTGGGCTCCGGCGATCCTTCCGCCTCAGCCTTCCGAGTAGCCGGAATTACAGGCACGCGCTACCACGCCCGGCTAATTTTTTTTTTTTTTTTTTTTTTATTGTAGAGATGAGGTCTCGCCTGCCCAGGCGGGTCACGAACCCGCGGGCTCAGGCAGTCCACTCACCTCAGCCTCCCAAAGGCGCGGGATTACAGGCTGAGCCACCGAGCCGGCTTCTATTGTTATTATTATTATTTGAGTTGGAGTCTTACTCTGTCACCCAGACTGGAGTGCAGTGGCATTATCATGGCCACTGCACTCTCTACCTGCTGGACTCATGTGATCTTTCTACCTCAGCCTTCAGAATAGCTGGAACTACAGGCATGGGCCACCATGCTCAGCTAATTTTTTTATTTATTGTAGAGATGAGGTCTCCCCAGTTTGCCCAGGCTGGTCTGGAACCTCTGAGCTCAGGCAATCCTCTCGTCTTCGCCTCCCAAAGTTCTGGGATTACGGGTGTGAGTCACCGCACCTAGCCAATTGCATTTTTTTTAATAGATTGAAGTTGGAAATTTTGTTTGTTTTAGACTGTCAAATCTTCCCCTCTTTGTCTTTGAATTTCTTCTTTTAGTTTTATTGTCTTCAGAGTCTAAGAAATGTGAAGTTCTTTTTTTTTGGTTTTGGGTCTCCTATGACTTCTGTATTCTTGTGCCTAACTCTTTTTTTTTTTTTTTTTTTTTGGGTTGGAGTCTCACTCTGTCACCCAGACTGGAGTGCAATGGCCACTCCCGGCCACTGCAGCCTCGACCTGCTGGGCTCCGGCGATCCTTCCACCTCAGCCTTCTGAGTAGCCGGAATTACAGGCGTGCGCTACCACGCCCGGCTGATTTTCTGATTTATTGTAGAGATGAGGTCTTGCCTGCCCAGGCGGGTCTCGAACCTGTGGGCTCAGGCAATCCACTCACCTCAGCCTCCCAAAGGCGCGGGATTACAGGCTGAGCCACTGAGCCCGGCTGTGTCTAACTCTTTAATGCAGCATGTCTGGAGCGTGTCTGGGATTGTGGAGAGAAGAGAGAAGCTGAGAGTCCCAGAAGCACAGAATGAGGGGTGGCTGGCGTCCCTTCTCGCTTCTGACCACCTGCTTGGAATCCCATTACTTTTTGAGCAGGGACCTGGAACGTGCTTGCTTGTAAGAAGCTAGGTCAGAACCGGGCTCGGTGGCTCAGCCTGTAATCCCAGCACTTTGGGAGGCTGAGGTGAGAGGATTGCCTGAACCCGCGGGTTCGAGACCCGCCTGGGCAATTTGGCGAGACCTCATCTCTACAATAAATCAAAAAATTAGCCGGGCATGGCAGCGCATGCCTGTAATTCCAGCTACTCGGAAGGCTGAGGCAGAAGGATTGCCGGAGCCCAGCAGGTCGAAGCTGCGGTGGCCAGGAGCGGCCACTGCACTCCAGTCTGGGTGACAGAGTGAGACTCCAACTAAAAAAAAAAAAAAAAAAGAAAAGAAAAGAAACTAGGTCAGAGGGCCAATTTGATGAATTGACTTTATTTTTTGAGTCAGAGTTCTCTCGCCCTGGCTTGAGTGATCCTTCTGCCTCAGCCTCCCAAGTAGCTGGGACTATAGGCATGTGCCACCACACCTGACTAATTTTTGGATTTTTTTTATAGAGACAAAGTTTCTCCATGTTGCCCAGGCTGGTCTCGAACTCCTGGGCTCATGATCCTCCTGCCTTGGCCTCCCAGAGTGCTGGGATAACAGGCATGAGCCACCGCACCCAGCTGTTAATTGATTCTAAAAAATTGTCAGTTCATGAGTAGAGACTAATCCCAAAAGGATGAATACTATATATCTGCGACAATCAGATTCATAGAGGCAGAAGTAGAATCAGAGATCCCAGGGACTGCAGGAAGGAGCAATGGTGAGCTGTTGTGTAATGGGGAAGATGAAAAGGTTCTAGACACGGATGGTGGTGATGGTTGCACGACAGTGTGGATGTACTTAATGCCACTGAGTCGTATACTTAAAAATGGTTAAAATGGTAAACCTTGGCTGGACTCGGTGGCTCAGCCTATAATCCTAGCACTTTGGGAGACCGAGGTGAATGGATTGCCTGAGCCTGCGGGTTTGAGACCAGCCTGGGCGACTTGGCGAGACCTCATCTCTACAATAAATCAAAAATGAGCTGGGCGTGGTAGCATGCGCCTGTAGTTCTGGCTACTTGGAAGGCTGAGGTGGAAGGATCTCGTGATCCCAGCAGGTCGACACTGGGGTGGCCGTGAGCGTGCCACTGCACTCCAGCCTGGGCAATGGAGTAAGACGGATAAAAAAGCATAGACTAAAAGTGGAAGAGCCAGAGGAAGCGCCAACCATCCTCATACATGACATCCCATCACACATGACATATTGAAACTCATAGGCAACTAGAAGACCACCTTGTCATCAGGCAGTGGCTTCCTCAGGAGTTCCTGCCTTGGGACAGCTGACCTCAGGCTGCTGCTTTTTTTTTTTTTTGAATCGGAGTGTTACTCTGTCACCCAGGCTGGAGTGCAGTGGCACAATCATGGCTCACTGCAGCCGTGGGCTCCTGGGCTGTGGCAATTCTCCTGGGCTGTGGCAATTCTCCCACCTCAGCCCCTCAAGTAGCTGGGATTACAGGTGTGTACCACCATACCCAGCTAATTTTTAAATTTATTGTAGAGTTGAGGTCTCGCCAAGTTGCCCAGACTGGTCTCAACCCCCGGGGCTCAGGCAATCATCTCACCTCCACCTCCCAAAGTGCTGGGATGACAGGCGTGAGACACTGCACCTGGCCTCAGGCTTCTTGACACCACTTGCCCAGTTGCCTTGGGCAGGTCTTTCCCTTCTCTGGGCTGCACATCTACCCCTATAGAAATACAATAAGCAGAACCAGACATGGTAGCTCAAACCTGTAATCCCAGCACTTTGGGAGGCCAAGGCAGGAGGATCACTTGAGACCAGCCTGGGCAACAGCAAGACTCGGTTTCTACAAAATAATAATCATAAAATAAAAAATAAATAATCTAAGTGGATGGTGGATGGTTTTCTGGATGAAGGAAATAAAGTCCATGGAGTCAAATATCTGGCCCCAGGTCTCTGGGCCAGTTGGTGGCAGAGCCAGAGGTCAGCACAGGGGTATGGCCCTGGAGCCCCTCTGGCTCCTTATTCAGGGACCCCCCTCCTTATTTCTTCACCCCAGTTTAACCTGACTGAAGCAAGTGGAAACTGACCATAAAGGGTGCTTACCAAGACATGCCCAGGATGCCTGACTTTACTAAGTGCTTACATACCTCATTTAATTCTCACAGCAATTCTAGGGTTAAGGACGGTTGCCCATTTTACAGATGCAGAAAAGTGGCCATCAGGGCTCCACTAGAGAAACAGAACCTAGGACCAGGTGTGGTGGCTCACACCTGTAATTCCAGCATTTTGGGAGGCTGAGGTGAGAGGATTGCCTGAACCCAAGGGTTCAAGACCAACCTGGGCAACTTGGTGAGACTCTACAATAAATAAAAGAATCAACCGGGCATCATGGTGCACACCTGTGATTCAGCTACCTGGGAGGCTGGAATGGAAGGATTGCCTGAGCCCAGGAGGTCGAGGCTGTGGTGGCTGTGATTATGCTACTGCACTCCAGCCTGAGGACAGAGTGAGACTCTGACAAAGAAAGAAAGAGAGAAAAGAGAGGAGAGAGAGAGAGAGAGAGAGAGAAGAAAGAAAGGAAGGAAGGAAGGAAGGAAAGAAGGAAAGAAAGAAAGAAAGAAAGAAAGAAAGAAAGAAAGAAAGAAAGAAAGAAAGAAAGAAAGAAAGAAAGAAAGAAACAGAACCTAGGCTGTACCTGGTGGCAATGCCTGTAATCCCAGCACTTAGGGAGGCTGAGGCAAGAGGATGGATTGAGACCAGGAGTTGGGGGCTGCAGTAAGTCATGATCACATGACTGTACTCCAGCCTGGGTGATAGAATAAGACCCTGTCTCTAAAAAAGAGAGAGAGAGAAACAGAACCAGTAAGTGATAGGTAAGTAGACAGATCAGTGGTCCACAAGGAACTGATTTAGGTGATTGTGAGGGCTGGCTAGGCAGATCTGAAATCTGCAGGGCAGCTGGACCTCTTAGAAAGTGACGCCGTAGGGCCAGGCTCGGTGGCTCAGCCTGTAATCTCAGCACTTTGGGAGGCCGAGGCGAGTGGATTGCCTGAGCCCGCGCGTTCGAGACTAGACGGGGCAACTTGGTGAGACTTCACCTCTACAATAAAATTTAAAAATAGCCGGGCATGGTAGCTCGCGTCTGTAGTTCTGACTACTTGGAAAGCTGAGGTGGAAGGCTTGCCTGAACCCAGCAGGTCGAGGCTGCGGTGGCCATGAGCATGCCACTACACTCCAGTCTGAGTGACAGAGTGAGACTCCAACCCACCCACCCCCCCAAAAAAAGAAAGTGACGCCACAATCCACAGTTCTGTTCTTTCAATGGATTAGATAAGAGCCACTGAAGTTATTCAGAATAATTTATTTTATATAAAATCAACAGACTGGCCGGGCACGGTGGCTCACACCTATAATCCCAGCATTTTGGGAGGCCGAGGGGAGAGGACTGCCTGAGCTCATGGGTTCGAAACCAGCCTGGGCAACTTGGTGAAACCTCATTCTACAATAAATCAAAAAATTAGTCGGGCATGGTGGCTCATGCCTGTAGTTCCAGCTGCTTGGAAAGCTGAGGTGGAAGGATCGCCTGAGCCCAGCAGGTTGATGCTGCAGTGCCTGTGAGCATGCCAATGCATTCCAGCCTGGGGGACAGAGTGAAATTCCAACTAAAAAAAAATAAAATAAAATAATCGGCTGGGCTCAGTAGCTCAGCCTATAATCCCAGCACTTTGGGAGGCCAAGGTGAGTGGATTGCCTGAGCCCACGGGTTTGAGACCCACCCGGGCAACTTGGAGAGACCTTGTCTCTATAATACATAACAAATTAGCCAGGCGTAGTAGCGCGCACCTATAGTTCCGGCTACTTGGAAGGCCTCAGCCCAAGGATCTCCTGAGCCCAGCAGGTCAAGGCTGCGGTGGCCGGGAGAGTGCCACTGCACTCCAATCTGGGCGACAGAGTTAGACTCCAACTCAAAAAAAAAAAAAATCAATGAACAGAATTGTTGATCACATTACAAAATACTTTCACAGCAAACCTTGACTCATGTTTTAGAAACGGGGATTGCACACACACACAGCTGCCCATCCCAGCGGAATCAGGTTAATTTTCTCACCTATGGTCCCAGGGCCTTTGCAGCTTCTACACCTTCTACCCAATTCTGAGACACAACCATATGATGTGGTTGGAAAAGCATCAGCTTTGGTACCAAGAGGCACTAGGTTCGAATCGCTAGTGCCGCCCTGTCGCTTCTTCTCCCAGTGACCATGGACAGACCGCCTCTATAGGGGACCCCAGCTCCTCCTCTGTAAAGTGGGTGGAGCTGTAGGGAAAGGTAGAGGGAGTCTACATGAAAGCTGGGGGTATCTACCCCCGGCCCCATACTGACGGTTCTTTCTTGTCTCTGCCACCAGCAACATGAAACTGCAGTATAAGGAAGAGAAGCCACTCCTACTCGTGACACAGTAAGGAGACTGTCATTTCCCCTTTCGTGGCTGTAGAGATGGGGGCCACCCCACTTCACCACTGCCCCTTCCTTCTTGCAGGACACAGTATCCTCAGCCCAAGCTGCTGGAGCACAGGTGGGTGTCATGGAGAGACCTGCTGGGGCTTGGCAGGGACCAACAGGGCTCTAACTTATATGAGAAGGGACCCCAAAAAAACCTGGAATGTATTTATTTTAAAAAAGTGTATCTATTCTTCATGTTTAAACTTCAGTTACCTTCATAGTACTCTCCATTGAATGCAATACAATTCAAACCTGTTTTTGAACTTGTCCATTTGGATGCCTTTTGGTGCTTCTGCGGTTTTTTGTTGCATCTCTTCCACATAGGCAAAATGTTTCCCTTTGAGAATTTTTTCATCCAGAGAAACAAACAAAAAAAGTCACTCGGGGGAGATCAGGTAAATAGGGAGGGTGGGGCATAGGGATCATGTCATTTTTGGTCAAAAACTGAAGTGCCATGGAGGCAGGTGCGTAAATCGTAAATCATCCATCATGAAATGGGCAAATGTGCTAAAAAATCTCCAAAAAAATTTCACGGAAGTCAAATGTAGCCTGTCACAACAATGCTAGCTGGTCCATTGATGCCAATGGGTTCCTAGAACACTCACCTAGCAGGGGGAGACTGTACCACAAAGGGTCCACCTTCCAAAAGATAATTCCAGGTTTTTTGGGTCCCCCCTCGTACTTGGGGTGATGGAAGTGCCAGTGTCAGGGGTACCCTTGGGGCCCGGGTAGTCTGGGATCCTACACAGGGTTGGAAGTCAGGAATCTGGGTTGTGTGACCTTGGGCAGGTTACCCAGCTGCTCTGAGCTTGTTCTGTATGGGTGGATAATAATAGTAACTACCTTATAGGTTAGAAGATCAGAAGAGATGGTATTTGTAACGTATGCATTGTGCTTGTGTACAGTAGGTGCTCAGTCTGTTGTTAAGGATAGTGCTGTCTTGCCTATGGTTTATTAAGCACCCACACACATGGACAATGCTGGCTCCTATAGCCACTTGGCATGCATTAATTCCTGGCCCTTCCAACCCTGCTAGGAAGCAGCTATTATCATCCCCACTGTTTGTTGAAGACACTGAGGCCCAGAGACGGGGATGAAGTGGCCCCGGGTCACACAGTGAGAGGGGCAGGGCCAGGATGAGGCTTTCACAAGGGGAGGGTACCAGTGCCCACTACCTCCCTGCTGCCAGGCCCACAGAGCTGCTGACACTCACACCCTGGTTGGCACCCATCGTGTCTGAGGGAACCTTCAACCCAGAGCTCCTGCAGCACATCTACCAGCCCTTGAACCTGACCATTGGGGTCACGGTGTTTGCCGTGGGGAAGTGAGTACTGGGCTAGGTGGAGGGTGGGAGGAAGAGAGGGATGGGGTGGAGTGGAGGGGTGTCTCCCTGAGCCACAAAAGCTTACAGCTTAGGGGAGAGGACCCTGCCAGCAGGACCCTGACTGGCCACCAGGGGGCGCTCTGAATCAGGTGCCTTGCAGAGCAGAGTATGGGAGGTGGGCTCTCTGGGGGAAGGGGGTCAGCCTGGCAAGAGGAGAGTCACCTGGCCCTGGCGTGGAAGGGGAGGCGGAGGCAGCCCAGGCAAGGCAACAGCAGAAGTCTTTGTCAGGAGGCCCCTACGCCCCCTCCCTCCTGTGCCCTCCTCCCTTCCCTGACCCCATTTTCCCTCTGGGTCCCTTCCTAGGACTCCTGACAGAGAGACCATGATGGTCTCCAAGGCCTAGAGCACTGGTCAGATGATGAACGGCCCACTGGGGTCGGGTGACCTCCTTGTCCAATCACTTGTGGCTGGGGGGGGGGCAGGGCTCTATCATCCACTCCCCACTTGATGCCCCCAGCATCGAGCACACCTCTCTTTCCCTTGATTCAGCTGCTAACCTGCTTCTTGGCCACTTTCCGCTCTCTGATCTTCAGTGTACCTCCCTATAAAATGGGCGAGCTTATAGGCGGAGTATAAAAATAGAAGGTAATAAGAATTCCTTAGAACACTGCCTGACATTGAGTAAGTGCTCAATATAAGTTATTGGTTCGTGAATATAAGAATTACCACTAGGCTAGGCGTGGTGGCTCATGCCTGCAATCTCAGCACTTTAGGAGGCTGAAATGGGAGGATTGCTGGAGCCCAGGGGATGTAGCCTGGGCAACATAGCAAGACCTCGTCTCTACAAAAAAATTAAAAATTAGCCAGGCATGGTGGCCTGTAGTCCCAGCAACTCAAGAGATTGAGGCAGAAGGATTGCCTGAGCCCAGAAGGTTGAGGCTGTAGTGAGTCACGATCGTGCCACTGCACTCCAGCCTGGGGAACAGACTGAGACCCCAACTCAAAAAAAAAAAAAAAAAAGGCCAGGTGTGGTGGCTCACACCATAATCCCAGCACTTTGGAAAACCGAGGTGAGAGGATTACCTGAGTCCATGGGTTTGAGACCAGCCTGAGCAACTTGGCGAGACCTCAACTCTACAATAAATCAAAAAATTAGACAGGTGTGGTGGTGGCACACACCTGTAGTCCCAGCTACTTGGAAGGCTGAAGCGAAAGGATCACCTGAGCCCAGCAGGCCGAGGCTGTGGTGGCAGGGAGCATGCCACTGCACTCCAACCTGGGTGACAGAGGGAGACTCCGACTCAAAAAAAACCACAAAAAGCTAGCTGGACGTGGTGGCATGCATCTGTAGTTCCAGCAACTGGGAAGGCTGAGGTGGAAGGATCGCCAGAGCCCAGCAGGTTGAAGCAAGGGTGGCCGTGAGCGTGCCACTGCACCCCAGCCTAGGCGACAAGAGTGAGACTCCAACTAAAAAAAAAAAAAAAAAAAGAAAAATCATTCCTACAACAGTCTTAAGAGTCAGTACTAGGATTTAGGGAATTTAACAGATGAGGGCCCAGAGGGTCAGACCAGAGTGGCTTCTCGAGGTGGGGAGTTGGGAAGTGGAGCCCGGCTTGACTGATCCCAGACCCCACGCCCAGCACAGCGCGAGGACCCAGGCAGCAGCCCTGCTGGCGTAGTGGTGAGTCGACTGGGTTATCATCCCAGGTACACCCACTTCGTCCAGCTCTTCTTGGAGTCCGCCGAGGAGTTCTTCATGCGCGGGTACCGGGTGTGTTTCTACATTTTCACTGATGACCCTACAGCCATCCCCAGGGTCCCGCTGGGCCCCGGCCGGCATCTCAGCGTCATTCCCATCCAAGGTCACTCCCACTGGGAGGAGATCTCCATGCGCCGGATGGAGACCATCAGTCAGCACATTGCCAGGAGGGCACACCGGGAGGTGGACTATCTCTTCTGCCTCGATGTGGACATGGTGTTCCGGAACCCATGGGGCCCTGAGACCCTGGGGGACCTGGTGGCTGCCATTCACCCAGGCTACTACGCTGTACCCCGCCTGCAGTTCCCCTATGAACGCAGGCATGTTTCCGCTGCTTTTGTGGCAGACAGTGAAGGGGACTTCTATTATGGCGGGGCGGTCTTTGGCGGGCAGGTGGCCAAGGTATATGAGTTTACCAGGGCCTGCCACATGGCCATCCTGGCAGACAAAGCCAATGGCATCATGGCAGCCTGGCAGGAGGAGAGTCACCTGAACCGCCGCTTTATCTCACACAAGCCGTCCAAGGTGCTGTCCCCTGAGTACCTCTGGGATGACAGGAAGCCCCAGCCGCCCAGCCTGAAGCTGATCCGCTTCTCTACACTAGACAAGGACACCAGCTGGCTGAAGAGCTGACAGCGGAACCAGGGCCGCCATGGATGGGGACCCAAAGTCCTGCCACCACGTACCAGGCCTTACCCGGAGACCAGCCCTGTCCTGCCTACCTCTGTCTGTCGGGTGAATCCAACCAGAAAATTAGGTGTGGGAAGGCCATTGTGGACAGCAGAGGGCTGTGCACATTAGAACGCAGAGCTCACGTGGTCACATGGCTCAAGAACAGTGGGACAGAAGGACGGGAGACGAGGTTACGAAGCAGGACCGGGCAGGCCTTGCTGTGTCTTGCAGATGTGCCTTCGTGGGACAGGTGTGGCATCTCAGCCCAAATCCAAGTGCCTGAAACCCCGCTGCCAGTCCCCTTGTGCTGCATTTTGCCCTTCAAGTTGCACTACTAACACCCTCGCGTGAAGGTGCCCAGACCCCTCTTCTCGGCCTGCAGGGACCTCCAGCAACATGTAGCCACTTCCTCACTCGGGACCCCAGAGCAAGCCTATGAAACGGAGCAGGTCTGGGCTCCCTCCGGTTTCCCACATCCCAAAGCGAGCCATTGTCTTGGTCGCTTGCCACCTCCTTTGTAAGAGGGTGTGGGGCCATTTTTAATAAAGGTGATGTGTGCTAGGCCCTAACCAGGGTGTTTTACCTGCACATCTGCGTGTCTGTTAGGCCAGGCACTGGGGATACAGGCAGGCTGAATTTCAAATAGTCATGGCGGGGAGAGGGGGGAGAGTTATTCCAGAAACTCGGGCCAAGGCTGGCTGCTGCACAGACAGAATTTCATTTCAACCCTCCAGGGAGACTGACCAAGCCCAGAGCCACCGAGCCAGTCAGCTGCAGAGCCTTGTGAGGCTCCTGGATCCAGGGTCCCCTCAGCCCTGAGGCAGTGGTGCAGGCCAGGATTAGAGGAGCTTTGGGGATAACCTCTCCAGACTGGACCTTAGAGGCCCATAGTGGTTCTGTCTGCCTGGCCACACACAGGTGGAGTGGCTGTGGGTTCAGAGCTTGATAGCCTGGTGCCCGCTTCCCTGGAGGCAGTACATGCTTTCTGTGGAAGGAGGAGATGGAAGGCCGGGGTATACTCTGGTCACATGAGAACGGGCAGTAATCACCACCTGGCTAACCCTGGCAAAGTTGGGGGCCAGCCCTAAGTCCACTCTAACTGCTACCTGGAGATTGGCCAGGAAGCAGGGACAAGCCTAAGATGTGGGCACACAGAGTGACCAGTTTAAGGAGACAGACCGGGCTGGAGAGAACTGGAGTCAGGAAGGGGCTCTGTATGCTTCCTGTGCAGAGGGACGAGAATGGACCCATGGCCTGTGTCCTCCGTCGGGAATGCCTGCCGTGGGAATGGAAGAGGGCTGTGTTGAAGGAACAGGTCCTGCCTTCAAGAAGCTTCCATCTAGAGCAGGGAGAGGCACACCAGGGATGTGCAAACCAGGGAGGGCCTCAGGAGGAGGCAGCCCTGAGGCCTGGACAACATCAGGCAGCCCAGCTCACTCCCTAATGGGATCCAAGTCACTGGCCTGTTTTCGACTGAGGCTCTGAAAAGTCACCACATGAGCTCGCCCGTGATGTGACTCAGCTACAGGCCAACTGACCTCAAGGCTGTGGTTGGGACAGGAATCCCAGGAGGTGGCCTCTGAGCCCGGTCCTGAAAGTGGGTCCATTGAGGAGGGGCTACAGGGAGGGGCAGTGCTGGCAGGGAGGTCTGATGGGGGTAAGGGCTTGGCGTCCCTGGGTGACAGTGGCTCCAGGAGGCTGGAGTTGGGCTGGGGGTGGGCACTGAGCAGGGCATGACCAGACAAGGAGGAATGCCAGACAAGGCGGCAGGGAGTCACTGCAGGTCGGTTCCAGCAGGGAGAGCAGGGTGCCCAAAGTGCTGGACTCAGGAGGTCTGCAGGCGTGGAGGCCCCAACACAGGACAAGGCCTCTGATGACCAACGTAGGATAAGTGGTGAGAAAAGCCATGACCCGAGGCCCCCATGCAGTCCAGGACCTGGTCACTTAGAGCCATGTGGCCCAGAGTGCCAGTGCCTGGACTCTTGTAAGAAAGGGGACAAAATCACTGAGTGCTCCAGGGGCCCCTAATAACCTGGCTCAGCCTGGTTCTGGGGTTCCCTTCCCTATCTCCCTCCAGCCCCTCTTACACCGGCCTTGTGGTGCCGGTTGCCGCCAGCGAAGACACAGAGAGGGGACTGGAGAGGAGGGGTGGGGACCTGACGGTCTCATGCTGAGGTTCAGTGTGGGGACCTGACGGTCGCATGCTGAGGTTCAGTGTGGGCTGTCACTGCGGGTCTCCTGACCCCAGCCAGCCCCCAGTGCTGCAGGTGGCATCGGAGGGCCTGGGCGACAG